TCTTAAGTTCTTTCATTAATGAGACTAAGAAGACGAGGATGGAGCTCTGCTGACCTTCACATCACTTTTCTTTTTAAGGAATGCAATGACAACTTTAGCATGGATTTCCCCCAGTTGCAGGGCCTGAGTCGAGACACACACATTGCTGTAAAGGCCCTTTAAGGGAAAACTCCTCCTGGTCAAGAAAACAGAATCTCTGGCCCAGGTGGACCATTCCAGAAACACGGCTTAGAGAAATGAGCCTTAGGAGATGAGTGGGAGCTGGGGAGAGAGAAACATGGAAAGGAAAACACTGCTCAAAAACATGCTGTCTGCAAGCCCAGAGTCTGGCTGGTGCTGTTACGTGGTGGCTCCGCGTGGACAGCCAGAATGAAGGAGAGAGCCCCAACCCAGAAACTACTATCTGAGGAGACATACGCAGGCACTTACTGTCCTAAAACCCCAAACTCCTGCTGAAAAAAAAGGAGCCCAATTTTTCCTCTTTCAAGCGCCCTAAAAACTCAGACCAACTATGTCCCAGGGCAGTCTCACCCGGCAGAGAACTGTTGCCCTTCACTGCTCCAAAGAGCAGTCTGCTGCTGTCCAGCTTGGTCTCCTTCCACATCACCCTGGTCAGTCCTGATCTAACCGTTTCTAACACTTGGTTCCTTGAAAGTGTCTCAAGTGCTCTTAGTGACACTGAGCTCTCCTTTTCGCCCCTGGAATAGGTAAGGGTCTTCTTTAAGAAGCTGGGTAAGAAGGGGAATTTGTGAAAGTACAATACACTTCCTAGCAGGGAGGTCTGCTGGGAGCTAGCCGGGGTCTACCAGCACTGGCCTTGGTTCTTACAGTCTGTTCACTGTCTCACCGCCTGTGAGATTCTTGTCCCTCATCCTTAGGGTTCCCGTTGTTACCGATTTAACTCCCCTGGAATAGGTAAGGGTCTTCTTTAAGAAGCTATTTGAGTAAGAAGGGGAATTTGTAAAAGTACAATACATTTCCTAGAAGGGTGGTCTGCTGGGAGCTAGCCAGGGTCTACCAGCACTGGCCTTGGTTCTTACAGTCTCTTCACTGTCTCACTGGCTGTGAGATTCTTGTCCCTCATCCTTAGGGTTCCCGTTGTTACCGATTTAACCCTAATATTCCCTGTAAACTCACTGTCCCCCTGTAAGATACATGAGCGGCCTGAGGTTCTCGCCATGGCTCTTCTGCACGTCCGGCTGTGAGCTAACGCTTGCCTCACCTTGATGGGAAACTAGGTGCCTGTGTTTGAGGAACACTGTGATGGTCTGTTTCAGTTGTCAACTTGACACAATCCAGATCCACCTAGGATAAGAATGTAGATGCAAAAGCCTAACTCTCACCTCAAAAGGCATAACGGAGCTTATTCTGGAGGCAAATATGACTGACCGCTGCCCAGGAACAGATTCAGCTGTGGGAAATGTGATCCGGGTTGCAAAGGAAGAGACCACCACCACTCCAGCTAAAGCGTCTGTCTGGACACGGCGAACCTTTACTTCCGGTCGGAAGGCTGCACTACTCACAACAGAGATGGAGAGGTAAGCACGCAACAGGAGACGTGACAAGGTTTTACCCTAATTCCTGGGGCAGCAGTCCTGGGTCACGTCCCCTTGAGTGGGGTTTGACCTCACAGTCTCTCCCGGTTGGCTAAGAATTGGTAAAGGAAGGAAAGAGAAGTGGAGGGGTTGACCAGAGGGGGAAGGGCTCAGCCTGTCCCCCATCCCAGGCCAGCAATTCCTGGAATGCACCTGGACTCTTTTCCTTCCAAAAGTTTTGTAGGGTGGGTGTTGGGGGAGATCAGAAGATTGGAGTGAGAAGGCAGTCTGAGCACCAGCACGCATCGCTTGCTGCTTCTGGACCGCAGGCCCAGCGTGCAGAGGAGAAATACTGACTGTGGGAAGGGCGAGTGACTGGTCTCCTGCTCTCCTACCCTCTGGTCAGCTTCCCACTGAACAGTGTCTCATATGACTGCAACCCTCCCTCCAACTCTTTTCCCTGTAGGATTGCAATCACAGGGTACTCCCTGAAGGAAAAAACAAAACCCTAGGGTTTGTGAGAGAGGCTCTGCTCCTCTGGACCCCAGGAGGTGCCGTCTTGGGTTGATTCTCTAATAAACGTGCTTGTTCTATTGAGGTCGGTTCCTTTGTCTGTCTCTGCACCCTCCTGTGTTCCATTTCTAGCCACAGTGCATTCCTGCCAGAGCCGGAACCCCTTCTCTCCACCACGCCTTCACTGTCATGATGGACTGGACCCTCAAAGTATGAGCTGAAATTCCTTAGGTTGCTTAGCTGAGTTTTGTCACAACAGTGAGAACACTAACGCAGAGCGCTTGGCCGGAGTGTGTGGGGGGTGTGTGTGGGGGGGATTAAGCAGACCTCACCACCATGCCCAGATCATGGTGCAATCCTAAGGAGAAGAAACGTGTTTGGGTGTTTCCTTGTGTAAACTCCTGGAAGACTGACCATGGAGGAAGGTCGTTTGTGAGCTCCGCTGCGGACAGCAGCTGTAGAGTCCTGGAAAACAGAATGCCTCCCGTTCTTAGCCTTTGGGGGGCTGCTCTTCCTCATCCCTTTGGTCTGGGAGCTGATGGCAGAGGGGATGCGTTGTCCGAAGGCAGCACATGTGGGTGGGAAGCTCGAGCGAGATTTTCTCATGACCACTGTGTTTGTAGAAGTCAGCAGGTGAAATGAGATTTTTCTAGAAGAGGCAAGAATGGAAGATGCTAAACAGAGATGAAGGTGAAGAAAACCTGGACTTATTCTAATGGTCTAGGAATCGAAGCCCAAGGTTCAAAGTGAGGAATTTTGCAAGTAAAGAAACATGGTCCTTTCTTTGAAATCAGGGGGAATATATAGAAAGTGCCTGCGTGTTCCAGATCAGTGTTTCATGGTGAAACTCCACCAGAATTCAGGATGGGAAGGGAGCATGATAAAGAAGTAAAAATGGAATCTGACCTTCAACAGATGCAGATAGCTTTATTAGCTACAGAGGCAAGCAGCCTTCCTGTGGGAACGGAGGTTGGGCATGGCTGTTGGGGAAGGTCTTGGATCTTTAAGTGGACCCAGAAAGTCCCAGAAAGGGGATCATACCTTTCCAGAATCCCAGAAGGTGGGGTGTACCTTCCTAGGTGGTATCCTGCCCCTTCCTGGGATCTGGAAAGGAGAGATGGGGAGTTCTGATAGGGGGACCAGGTATCTTCTGCTAGGTTGGTAAGGATCCAGATCATCAAGGAAGCTGATATAAAACCAGATGCCTTTTGCTAGGGGCCAATTGTTCTGAGATAGATGTATCCCCCTCCTCGAGTGGGGAAGCAGGGTGGGGGGATAGGTAGTTCATTCAGTCACTTGTCAGGCTGATTGTCCTTCACATCCTATATCTAGAATTATTCTCTGTTGGAAAATCTATACCTTCACCTCTGGGAGCCCATAAAACTTTCTTCTCGTCACTAACATTTTGATTGTTTCCAAAGTCCTTCCATGGAGATGAACTATTTGACTTTAACAGCAACCTTCAAAGAAAGCTGGAACAGGAAGAGTCAACATTCAGAGATGCACAGGCTTCAAGGAAGCTAGTTCAGGTGACAGTGCTCGTGTACTGTCCACCTCGTTATGGGACACAGAAAGGGACAGGCATGTGCCTTTGAACCTGGTACCGAGCTCCATGCACGAGAGCAAGTGAATTCATGTCACTGCACTGATACAGTTCATTAAATAAATGACATAAAGGATTTAAAAAGCACCCTGCATACCCAAAAGGAGGAACATTTTCCGAGGGGGTCAAAATCTTGATATGTAGAGGAACTGAGATGAATCTGGACCAGGCTGGGCATGTCTAATCTTTGTTTCAAACACCATCTAGGAGGAGGATTTGGGAGCTGCCTTCCTTACTCATTGTTGGCATTCAACATCTAGCTTAGACTAACGGGTTTTTCCTCGTGAATAAGGTTCACCAATGTCAGTCAGGCTGCTAGAACTTAAGAAATCTACACACAGAAGTTGCTTAAGTGTATACAGGTCACTTCCACATACTCTGGTCACATTTTTACACAAATATCCATAAGGTGCCCTTCCTCTACAAATTCATATTTTTACTTATCAGCTGACAAATACATATTTCAAGTTGCCAGTTATCATTTTAGTTTCTAAAATACCACTTTTGACATCTTGAATTTTTTTAGCTTTTTTTTTAAATGTGTATGAATATTTTGTGTGCATGTATGTAAATGTAACTGTGTTGTGCAATGCCCATGGAGGCAAAAAGAGGGTGTCTGATCCCCTGGAACTGGAGTTATGGACTGTTGTAGGCACAGCATTGGTACTGGGAACCCAACCTGGCTCCTTGGCAGTCAGTGCTCCTAACAGCTGGGCCATCTCTCCATCTCTCCAGCCCCCACTTTTTAAACATCTTTACAGCTGCTTTTTGCATGATAACTGAAATGATTTGCATACTTCAACATAAGATACTGAAGGCAAACTAAGTTAAAGTGTTGCACAGATGCCTGCAGGTTGTCCTATGACAACCATACATACCTATGCCATGGTATGTACCCCCCAAAACAGAAATAAATGTAGTTTAAGAAACAATAGAAACAAAGGCTGAACTCACTCAGAGGTCTCAGAAAACACAGCTTTTGGATACCAATAGCATGCTTCATTATGAATTCAAGCGCATTGAGGGAACATGCATTAATTATTCAGAACATAATTCTGGAAATGGATGCTGAAGACTGAATACAAAGAGGCACAGGATTAGTATGGAAGAAATGGAAATATTCTAAAATTATGAACAGAAAAGCATCAGAAATATTGCAATGATTTGAATCTAGGTAACATTTCTCAGTATACGAAAACTGAATAGAAAATACTGACTTCTACTAAGAGGATGCAAATGGTTTTCAGCATTTTATTGACAAGGATAAAGAATAGTGATAAAACACAAGCAAATTCAGCATCAAGGTTTTCAATTTTATTTGGGTAAACTCATCAATATATAATGTGTTCTCAAACCGGCCACTTCAAATAGGTGAAAAATAGACATGAAATAAAGCTATATAAATTATAGAAAAGCAAAGTCATTGTCTTTGTTTTAATTTAATCTACTTAAGGCAAAGTTTGCACCCATTAGATTACTTGAAGAATCCACGCCACCTATACCTGTCAGCAACAATGCATACCAGACACATTAGTAAACATCTGTGCTACCAACATCTTATTATTATACTGTTAATAATAAGTATAGGCAGGAAATGACCAAACACTTCTGTCACAGTTGACTACTTATTATGGTTACATGCTTATGTATGGCTTGCTTCATGCCTATTCACCTTTTGCTGACTCTGAAATTTACCAAGGAGGGAATGCTGGCCATCTTGAATCGCTTGGCCACACCTGAATTATCCTAGAAACGCAGTCAGGGGAGGCGTGTTGGAGGAAAGTAGTGATTTCAGTCCTGCAGTGATCAGTCTGTCCCCAGCCTCCAAATGGCGATTCTCTGTTTCAGAATGGCTGATGGGTTTGCCACAAGTAGCAACAGCAATGGAGAGACTCCAAGTTCACTCGTGCAGGGAGTCCTTGTGCCTCACTTCTCAGCTGCCCCAGCTGGAGCGGGAGGACTCGTGCCCTAGCCCTGCCTCGGTGCTGTTTGGTCACCTGCAGTCCACCATCTCTTACCAATTTTCCTGACAGTGATTCTTTTTATTAACAATGTTTCATTGATTCCAGAATTTGATCACATTCAGGCCCCTGCCTGCTCCAGTCCCTTCCCACAACCCCCAGGAGTTCATATTCCCTATTGCTGATCTCTGCCTCCCGCATGTTCCCAAGTACAGATCCAGACTCTGGAGTCCAGTCAACCTACTAGGGGTCACACCACTGAGGAAAAGTGACGCTGTCTCCCAGCATCCATCAATTGTCAATAGATACTTGGCTAGAGCTGGGGCCCCCGCCTCCCTTCGTCATCCATGCTGGGCCCCCGCCTAGCTTGGGTTTGCACAGGTCTTGTGCATGCTGTCCTAAGTGTTGCGGGTTCACAGGTGAAACTGTGGTGTGGTCTGGTACTCTGTGGTACCAGACAGTACCGTTTTCTTGTGTTCACCTCTGGTTCGCTCTTTCCATGCTCCTTCCACAGTGACCTCTGAGGAGGTAAAACACAGGTGTCCCACTTAGGTCTGAGCATCTATGGTCGCTCGTTTGTCTATTTGTGGGTCTCTGTGCCAGTCACCATCTGCTGATAGAACAGCCTTCTCTGGTGAGAGTTGAGAGACGTACTAATCAATATGTCATAACATATGACATAAAGTCACTATGAGTCTAATCTTGTGTCTATTTAGTGGAGTCGTAGCAGTGGGCTTTCCCCAATGGCCTGTGGTTTGTCTAGGCTCTTTCCCTGATAACAGTGTCTGATATGGGCACCCTGTTCTGAAGCAGGCCTTAAATCCAATCAAATGGTTATTGGTTACTACCATAACATGTGTGCCACTAATGCACCACTGGGCCTGCCTGCCTTGCCAGTTGCCACTGCAGCTCACAGGGTTCATGTCTGGAATGAACATCCTCTTTTGGAGAGAGCTACCATAGATCCTCAACCCCAGTTGGCTGTTGCCACTGCACTTGGTCACCCTCCAGAACTGGACAGAAGACCCTATTGAAGAAGACTACACATCTGAGCCCTAAAACAAGTAGAAATCAAACTGGTACTGGCCTCGAAGCTCCATCTCTGCTGGTTAGATGTCATAGTTCCAGAAGGTGCTACTGGCAGAGAACGCTAATCCTCAGCCTCCTAGCTGGGAACACAGTTTCGCATTCCCTGATTATTGCAGAACTGTCCTTGTGTTAGGACTCAAGCACACAGGCCCGCTGAGAGCCATCCATGATGTGGCTACCAGCTCCCTCTGCTTCATGTTAAAGCTCAGAGGCAGAGCCGGGCTCAAGGGCTGTGGAGGCTAAGCTTAGAAATCGTTACATTGCTGACACGCTTTTCCGAGCATGCTCTGTGCTGTGCTGCTCATATACCCTGAAAGGTTCTCCTGTACACTTTAAAGGGTTGTTCTCTCAGCTATTCATAGTCTAGGATTTGGTTTCCCCATCACAGAAGACGTCCCTCAAGTGTAAACAGGTAACTTGTCTGTGGTTATTCAACTTTGGCGCAGAGGCTGACTTCGAACTCCGGACACACTGCAGAAATGGCCTTGGTTGTGCGTCCAGAAAGCACCCACTGAAAAACAAATACACCAGTTGCTGCAGATACGTAAGCAACGGTCTTCTGGAACCTTGGAGAAGACCTACGTCAAGCTCAGGTCTTAAAGGGAGAGACGTGCTTTAAGGGAAGTGGATCTCACAGGACAGAAAATAACTCCCAACTGGGAGAGGGTGTTCTCCGAGTGGTCTCACAGCGGGGGGCGGGGGGCAGGCGATCCAGGAGGACCCCGCCACAGGCTGAGGCTATCTACCCATCCCTGGGAATCTGAGGAGGAGCGTTACAGAGGGGAACTGGGAGTACCTGACCTGGGGAGACCGGTTGGAACAGGAAGCACTCAGCCTGTTGAAGATGGAGCGGGAGGATCAAGGGGAAAGGGAGCCAGGGCACCCGGAGGCGAGGGCCAGGGCAGATGTCCCCAGGGAGGCCGGGAGAGGAGCGAGGCCAGGTGTCCCTGGGGACCCCGGAGTCCTTGGGGAGGCAGGCGGCCATGAGGGACTGGAAGGCCTTCGGGGCCAGGGCGGGTTGGGGGTCCCCGGGGAGGCCAGCCGAGGGGAGGGGTCAGGGGTGTGGAGAGAGGCGGACCGGGTGGAGGAGTTTGCAGAGGCCCGCGGGGTGGCTGTCCCCGGGGGCGCAGAGCCAGAGAGGCGGGGAGAAGGGCGGGAGGGGGACCGCGCAGGGGTGGAGGCCCCTCAGCGGCGGGGCAGGAGGGACACCGCGCAGTCTGGCGGGGACCAGAAGTCCTACCCGGAGGCCAAGCTGCGGAGGTACTGCGCACGGTGGAGGAGGCCCAAGACCCTCACTACAGAGCAGCAGAGCTCCGGCCGGGACCAGACCCAGAGCCCGCAGCAGAGGCGGAGCGGCGGGCTGAGCCTCCAGGCAGCCCCATCCCCGGGGTCGGAGTCTGCGGAGCCTGCGGGGTCCGAGCCTCCGGGGCCCCTGGAGGCCCCGGGGCCGCAGTCGCCCCGGGTGTCCGCCGCGCCGGATGCACCGCGTGTGCCCTCCTCCAGGGAGCCCTCCCCCGGGGTGCAGCCGCCGTTCCACCCGGGCGCCATCCGCTCCAGCCTCCGCACCGAGACGTCGCGCGTGTCTCAGCGGTCGGCCGCCCCCGGCCTCTCGCTCACCTTTGCCTTCAACGAGCTGGCGAAGATGGGGGACCCGGACCTGCTGGAGATGCTGCAGGAGGAAGGTAGGGGAGCCGGCGGGCGCGGACTTCAGGGCGCACCGGGACCCGGGGACGTTGGTGGCCGGGGGGCTCCGTCCCGGGAACGTTCGCGGCGTGGCGAGCCCCGGGCGGTGGGTGAGGTTCTGCGTCATGCGATGGCCCCTCCTGGCCTGAGAGGCACCTGTGACCCCGTGACCTGGGGCGCCCGCCCGGGACCCTTCTGGGTCCTAGTGATCCGCTGGTGCTGCGCCTGGAAGAGGGGTGTTCCCAGGGGAGAGCGCAGATGGCGACCTGCCCCCGGGAGCTGGCCCGGAGGTCTCCAGCCCTTTGCAGACCTCCAGGTGGGCTTTGACACGGTGATTCTGAGATGGGCGCCCTGAGGTCTGTCCTCCTGATATCCCTGTGCCGTGTGTGTGTGTGTGTGTGTGTGTGTGTGTGTGTGTGTGTGTGTTATTGTTGTTGGGTTGCTTGTTGTCTGCTTTAACTGAAGGCTTAGCTCTGTTCAGACTGTCAGTTCTTGGCCGAGATCCTGGAGCTGATTTCTAGTCTGGCTCTATTTTAGTAAACACAGTTTTTCAAAACGTGCCGGCTTTTTCTGGCTGGAAACTCCACCACCTCAGTTTCCTAGGTGATACTGTGATTGTGCCCTGTTTAGCATCAGATCTAAACACTGAAACAGGCGTTTGTTGTTTTGTTCCCTTTTTAAGGGAGGGGATATGATCTCTCACTCTGTAGTGCAATCAGGACTTGAACTCACAGAAATCCCCCTGCCTCAGATATCCAAGTCTGAGATTAGAGGCATAAGCTCCCACCCCTGGCTCCTAAAAGGGATGAAAAAATGGGAGGTCTTACTATTCAGTCTTAAAAGGATCATGAAATAAATGTTATTCCCCCTCCCTTTACTTTCATTTTCTTTATTGAGGGTCTCCCTGTAGCCCCAGCTGGCCAGGAGCCTCCTAGGTAGACCAGGCTGGCCTCAAAGCCACAGAGATCTGCCTGCTTTTGCCTCTAGAGTGCTGGGATCAAAGTGTGCTCCCAGAACCCAGTTTCCCTCTCCCCATCTAAAAATACCCTAATTGAGATATACTCTAAATTCCACAAAACTTTATACTTAAAGTATAAAGTTCAGTGATTCCACTGTATTTACAGATTTTGTAACCATTACCATACAGTAATTTTAGAGCAGTTCCATGATCCCAGCTGGCAGTCCCCGCAGCACCACCCTGTCCCTCACTGCTGCCAAAGATTTTCTTAGCTCAGACACTTCAGAGAAATGGAACCTTAAAGTTTGTGGTCTTTTGAAATGGATGCTATATATTGGCATGCTTTAAAGTTTGTTCATGAACCCATGCACTGTTCCTTTTAATTGATAAGGATCGTGGTGTTGTGGAGAGAAACCACACCTCTCCAGCCAGTGGACATAAGGTAACCCTCTACCTTGGTACCACAAAAAACACAATGAATGTTCATTTATGTCATTGTTTGAACATAGATTTTCATTTTTCTTTGGACTATCACAGGAAAGTATATGGATCATGTAGTCACTCTCTATATTGAGTATTTTGAGAAATGAATACACAGTTTTCTAAATGTCTGCATAAGTTTATGTTCCCACCAGTAGTGTGTCAGTGTTCCAACTTCTTTGAAGGGAAAAAAATTAGAGGGAAAATGTGTATGATGTAACATTCTCTGGATAATGAAGAAACATTTTTTGATCCAGCATCCTGAAAATGAGCTACTTCTGAGGGTCATTTGTATGGCGCTCAATGCACTTTAGGCTCAGGATGATTTTCCCTTATTAGAAGCTGTAGGTGTGCTAGCAACCTTCAGCATGAGGTCATAAGCAGCAAGCATCTATCCCAGGAGAATTCAGAACTTTCCCCAAAACTTTTCTCTTAGTAAAGGCCTTTGTGGTCTACATTGTTCCCTGGTGTGATCATGGCTGTTCTGACTTGGATGGAGATAGGGGAATCTACACAATAAGAGTACCACATAATTGATAGTTGAGTCTGGTGTCTGCATCCTGCCCATATTTCTGGACCCAGCAACAGGGCACTCGGGAACAGGGACTCAGGAGCAGAGTGGGTGGGGCTGCGTGGGGCTCCTCAGGCAACGCGTGTTTTTCTAGATGTAAAATCAGAATGTCAGTCTCTTTTCTGGGCGGGTTTTGATGCCTGTTGTTTAAATTCCTCTCTTGCTGTCACCAAGTCAGCACTGGGGAAAATAGTTTAGGAGTTTAGCACTGGGAATGGAAGTTTAAAAGTTGCTTGTGAAGTCCCTTGCATTTCTACAGCTATATTAAACACTGTGTCTAATGAAACCACCTGCTCTCTTAGTCATGAGAACACTTGATTTCACGTGCAGTCATTCCGTGACAGGAATACGTTCTGAAACAGATGTTAGGTGGTTTCATCACTGTGGAGCATTGGTGTGCTTACAAAAGCTACTCCTGCACACCAGGGCACAGAAAAATCCTGGGAGCACTGTCTGGTGTGTGGTCTGATACTGGTATAAATGCTAGTCATGTCAGCACATTTATTTTGTGCTACCAGTAAGTGTGTAAACTGAGAAGATCAGTTGGCAGACACAAGGGCTATTTTGGGCTTTGCTGGATAGTATGTTCCTGGTTGTATGCACTCCCTAAGACTGGTCCCTAAATGAGTCTCTGCGCTGACTGGTACCAACGCGTCACCTCCTTGTTTCTAGCCCACAGGGAGACTCCAGAGGAAAGTCAGAAATTCCATGGCGCTGACTTGCAGTTGGTTCCAAGTTTTGTCTCCTCAGGACTCTTGTTTTTTAAAAAATAAATTTAAATATTTTTATTTTTATTTTATGTATGTGCAAGTATGTATGTCAGTGTGACTGCTACACATGTGCACATACCCACTGAGGCCAGGAGAGGGTGCCAGGTCCCCTGGGGCAGGAGTTGCAGGAGGCTGTGAGCCATCTCACATCTCACATGGGTGCTGGGATGACCTCTTAACCACTCTCCAGACTCAGGGCTCTTGTGTTAACAGATTACTGATAACTTCCTTAATCCAGGGTGGTATGAGATGTCTGAGGTGTGAATATCTGTGTGTGAGATAATGGTGAGCCCTGTGTGTGTGTGTGTGTGTGTGTGTGTGTGTGTGTGTATGTATGTATGTAGATAAAATTCTATTTTCTTGAGTCTTTCTGCTTTTCAGAGGATTCAGCATACAAAATGTCTCATGAGAGGGTTTGAGGCCAGGCTAGAAAGGAAAATGTGAAATGTCAGCTGGGCTGAGCCAGAGAAGACAAAAGATTAAGATTCCAGGGAAGGAAATCATGAGATTAAAGGCTGGTGTGGAGGCCGGGCAGGGCTGGGGGAGGCCGGAGGACTGCTTGACCATCCTCAGATCCTTTATGTGGATTTAGATTAGTGTTGAAAGTTGAAGCAAAGATGAGAC